CTAAAACACGCAAGCAATGAATCAATCGATGGTTCGATCGATCAAAGGATCGAACGAGCGAGCGAGCAAACAAACAACCAAAGAACTAAACAAGCAAACCCGCACGCACACACACGCGCGCACGCACACACTTGGAGCATCTAGTTCTTGTCTCATGTTATGTTACCTCCACTGTTGTCTTCACATCTCAGCTCGCCACTCCTGATAGCCCTCGGCATCACAAATTGGAGACCTGGAGCTTTGCATGTCGAATGTTCAGGATGAAAGTTCATCAGGCAAAGTCGTGCAGAATTCTGTCTGCAAACCAAAACGTGCCAGCAAAAGAGGTGATCAAGACTGAAGCGACCCAACATGGAACGATGGACACAGCTGTTCAATATGCGACCCGCCAGCTGCCAGCTGGCAGAGCAATGGCCCACAGCCCCACTTGCAGGCACGTACACTGGCGTCCCAGTCTGCTTCGCAGACCCTGTGCAAAAGCGCCTTCGTTGGGCATGGCTGTTTGTGCTATCTTTATTTTTGGAAGGAAACAACTCGACAATCCTTGACAGCCGCGCTACTGCAAAGAATGCCGCAGCTGCAAGCTTTCCCTTGGAAACAGGGTGCTACCCGTACGCGCACACGCACAACGTGCCACCAGCGCCAGAATTGCAAACCACGTGTCCACCCGTCCCAAAGAAGAATAAAACACCTTCCAGCCCAATTCGCCGCTTGGGGCTGTTTGGGTTGCCAAGGCGCACGCGTTTCTTTCACGTCCAAGACGCCAGATTGGGACGACCCCAAGCCTCAGGGCAGTCGAGCTGTTTGGCTTTCCGCCCAAAATGGGACACATACCGGTCAGGAAGCATGAAGAGGGCCGCATGCACACGGAGAAGAAGGAGGCGGGAACCCTTGAGAGGTCACTTGTGGCGGGTTGGACATGGGCATAGAAGAGGGGGTCTCCAAACAAAATGGTGGATTTCGCCTGGCCTCCATTGAAGCAATCCCAAAAAGTGTACCACCAAGAAGACGCCCAAACGGGGTCGATATTGTAGGTTTTCACTCTCGTATCTGGAAAACTTCTCCACATGAACATTTTGTCAAGGCCTTATCGCAGAAGAAGGCAATTCCCATAGTCCCGCACCGGGTAATATGGCTTATTTGAGCACATATTGGAGCATCCACCGTAGCTTTGGCTCTTAGTCTCTTCTAACGCCTTGTGGAGTTTCCATCGTGCCCATTGAGCAGATCCTTTTGTCGGTTCTGACCATTTAGAGAGGTTTGACAGAAACAGGTTTGGAAGCCCTCGGGGATTCCAGGGTCAGTTTGTGGTGTCGTGAAAGCGTCAGGCGTGCGAAGCTGCGAGTTTGTTCGCTTGCTCACATCGGGACAGGCACCTCCACATGTGAAGTTCCTTGTTCTCGCAAGAGCCTCCCCACCCGTGGTTTGCATGTCCACCTCAAATCCGGAGGCCCAGCCGTTTCCTGGGAAAGCCCAAATGAGCGATCGCACATCAAGTCTTGAATAATTGCCGGTTTTTGCCAAATGCTGGTTCGGTCGTTTGCTTGCAGTTCTAGCTGGCAATTTGACAACCAGACCGATCTCATGTAGTACAAGCGCCCTCAGGCGTGATTGTCCATCCTGAGGAAGACCCACACACCCATCCCCAAGAGAGGGCTACCTACATCCTCAGAGGCTCGAAGTATAAAGCGATACTGATAGTCTATTGTAATTTTGTTTGGCGGGACATGACGGGACTAGCCAATTTTCCACAAATGGGTGGAGACTGCGCAAATGCATCATTTGACTAGTGCCCATTTCTTATGGACGATGCTGCTCTCGGCCCTGTTCCTTTCGTTGTGCTTTTGTGTCAGTGGCATACTGGCAAGAAGAGATCTAGAAGCCCTCGGAGTATGCATGCAAATCAGGAGAACCCCTGTTTCTTTCAACAGGTTTCACTTGCGATAGCCTTTGGCTTCCGTGGCGTTTTGCACTGCTGGAAGCTCGAATCCTATTTGATGAAACCCTTACAGCTGGAAGGTTGCAATTGTTTTGACTCAGCAATATCTTTATAGTCATCATTATTATCATTGTTGTCATTATTTGTCACTATCATGGTTATTGTTATCCAGTGCATCGTTATCCTTATTATCATAGTTGCAAACACTACCATTGATATCATCGTTATCAGCATAAACATCATGTTGTCACTCTTTGGTGTCATCGTTTTCATTGTTACATGCCATTATTGTCATTGCCATCATTTCTATCGTCACATACAAATTGTTTTCAGACATATTATCACTCTTGTTATCAAGATATTCCGATAACGTCGGATACCGTTGAATTTGCCAGACCTACCTCCGGAACTGCCGGCAGCGAGAGAAAGACAGGCAGAGGGAAGAGCAGGAGCGAGGGTGGGGGGTGGTGAGTTGCTTGGTTGTTTGCTTGGCCTGTCGGTCAGTTGGTTGGTTGCTTGGCCGGTCGGTCAGTTGGTTGGTTGGTCGGTTGGTTGGTCGGTCGGTCGGTTGGTTGGTTGGTCGGTCTTGGTTGGTTGGTTGCACAACGTGGCTTCATTTCCCTTTCGGCATTGGTGACAGAAACCGGCCCCATGCAGCAACTGAGCAGCCGATGAGTTGGCCGAGCAAGAAATTCCTCGCGGACCACATTCCGGTACCCGTCCCGGTATCACACCACCTGTGGGGCGGTGCCAGGATCGGTGTCAATTGATAAAGGAGCCCTGGCAGGTGTAATTCATTGTGGGTGGGATGGTAGTCTGGGAATCCATAAGCAAGACCCAAGGAATTTCGCGCAGATCTTGAACCTTCGAATGGTAACGTCCTACTCTTTCCCACGCCTGCAGACAGCTGGCAAGCACGAGGGCAAAGGCCTGCCTTTTTAAAGCAAAAGGAACGTGTAGTCAACCCCTGGACATTTGGCAAATGGTTGGCGTTCTGAAGGGTAGGCACCGTGTCTTTGGCCACGAAGGATTTGAATGACTCTTCTTTTTTTGCCAGGGCAGGAGTTTGAACAGACTGGGCGCAACAGGATTTCAGGGAACCTGGAAGATCCCACTCCCCTTCCTTAAGGGAAGGAACCCAAAAGGGAGGACATTCCAGAATAGAGCTTTTACATGATGATTTACCTGGTCACCTGCTATTGGGGTAACATCCTTTGGGGAGATTTAAAGCTTATCCGGCCGGATTTCATGGCAGAGTAACTCCTGGACTGCTCTTAGCGGACCGACGGCAGAGCTCCGTCTCCCCGGTTTCACGGTGGCGGCGTCGAGGCCACACTCAGTTTCACTGCTTCTTTGTTTTTTAGGCACACCCCCCCAAGATTTGTATCCCAAGGTAGGGTGCGAAATCCTCAAACAATATGAAATCCTCAAACAATATGGGAGTGCAAGGGCACCTCTCCCCGCTGCTCTGTCCGCTCGCCCAAAATCCCAAAGTGCTGAGGTCGGCTACCTCGCCAAAACAAGCTGTGACCTCGTAAGGTGAGGTTTTTCAGTGTCATGCCTTTCTCGGTGGCTCTGACTTAGTATTGGAGATTGACCCTGGTGTCTATGGGTCAAAAAATAGGGCAACCCCAAGATGAAACCCTGGGAAATGGAACCAAGGACTAAAACCTGCGGTCCAATTCCTGGTGGTTTCATTTTGACCCACACCCTGGTTGACAGCCTCGAGTCACTAGGGGCAAGCGACCAGGACCTGAAGAAGCAGATCGCGGCGATCGAGAAGGCTCCGGAATCGAGCTTCAGTTGTCCGATGGATGTGGGCTTTGGGTGGGTGGTCTGGGCACGGTGAAAATGGGGGTGGGATAAAACAAGCTGCTGGAAAGTCGGGAAACATCAGGAAGAATGAACAACCCAAACAATATGTTTCTTGAATGATCATGTTGTCGCAGCCCCGGAGCCAGTTTGCTGCAAAACGACCAGGCACCCCGATCATGTTCGCAGAGGAAAGCCTCGAGCCTCAATCTAAAGGCCTCACCATCGAAGGCATTCGACGGTAGATGGAAATCAAAGGGGTTGCAGCGGTGCTGCATTTGAGCACGAGCCGGGTTTGGAGTTCAATGGAAAGCCAGAGCGGGTCAAAGCCTCAAGCGCCTATGAAGCCAACACACACACACATTTTCCATGTGCTGAGGCATCTAGTGAGTTGGCGGCTGTGGGCGGGGGGGGGGGACCGTCAACCTTCATGCAGAAATTTCCCTTTGACCTGTGTCGGAAATTTGGGGCCCCGAGTTGTGCAGACGGCATCAACATTGGGGTCCATCATCATTGAACTCTATGCCGCCCTCTCCCACGCGGAGGCCCAGTAGGAAAGCGAAAGGAAGGGATGTTGGAAGCTCTGCAAGGCAGTCACAGCCTCCCAAACTATGAGCAGAGAAACCTGTGAAGGACAATGGTTCGTGCGGCAATCTTTTGAGAACCCGAACTTTCAGCGTGCAGTGAATTCACAACCTTGTCCGCAGTTCTGGATTCAGACAGTCGTTGAGCTGCATCTACAACGCATTCAGACACATCCCAGAAATCGTGCCCTGGAAACAAACTTGCACCGAGGTCGCGTTGGCGACATTTCTTTTGATGTGTGAACACCCAGGGGGCCAAGCTTTGCGGTTTTCGCCGCGTGGCCCGTTTCGATCCGCGGTCAATGGGCCGCACGAACTGGGCTGGCAGAAGCCGCACGAACTCAGAAGCCACGCTGGCTTTCTAAAAAGTTTTTGGTCCCAGCAACAAACCGCCAATCGTCGCATACTCCTTGCCTGTTGGAAAGGGCTGGTGCCTTGGAAGCCGAGAAACGGGGCGGTTGGACGGACCTCTTGCTGGAGATTTTCTGGCCGCGGCTTCCCCGAAGCTGATCCGCGCGCTGGCTGCCCGAGCTAATGGTGGATTTCAGGGCAAACCACCGCGTGCCCAAACGGATTGCTTCAAAGGGAAACCATTCTCAAACCCAGATTTCAAGGGAAGGTTTCCCCAGAAGCGAAATGCAAAGCTCCAAATGAACAGTCATCCAATGAGGGTTCCTCCAAAGTCTCACTGAAGCCGCCCAAGAACCACCGGGCCGCTCCGTGCTCGTGAGGCAGCCCAGGATGCCATGGACCGGGCTCCCTACTCCGACGGCTTCGCGAATCTCGTGGAGCTGCCGGAGGCCTTTGGAGTCGAATCGAATCGAATGGGACTGGCGGGAGGTCTTCGCGTTCGGTGGCGTTGCTGTTTTTTTTTTTGCAGCCTTGTGAGGTTGGTTCAAAAAGAAAGGGAAGCAATTCTTGGTTTCTTTGTCTTCTGAGAGGTTATGTTTGCCATTTTGACAGGTCCTCCAAGCCGCCCCGTTGCTGAGTTAAGGTACCACCCTTTGGCCCCGGTTGAGCAGGGGGGGGTGTTCCATTCTACTTGGATGTTCAAAGTAGGTAATGATATAGCCATGCTTTCTTCAGG